GCCATTTGGTGCCGGCCCACGCAATTGTGTTGCCACTAGATTTGCCTTGCTTATTGATAAGGTGTGTATAGCACATGTTGTTCGCCGGTTCCGTTTCTACCGGTGCCCTCAAACTGATGTTCCCATACATTATAAGCGCTTTATTCACGTTATGTCACCGAAACGTGTTATCGTCGGAATTGAAGCAAGGTTGTGAATACTTAAATACTATAAAACACATTTTACTATTAATATGAAGTTATACTAAATTGGTTTAATTTTAAAATTTTAATTTTAATCAAGTCTAGTTTATTTAATAATTAACAAAAATCTTTATTTTATAATTAATAATTTTTAATTATTTATAATAAATATATTTAATTTTTAAAGTATAATTCTACATTTATATTAATAAAAATTCTATCGATACTATCGATAATCTACTTTAAATTAACAAGCAATAGACATTGATTGCAAGTACAGTATATTTCTTAGTCTATGTTTTAGACAATATTGTAACTCTATTACCGCTGTAGTATTTTTGTTTAGCTTTGTTATTAGTTTACAAATATTAGTGCAAACATTTATTTTGAGCCCCACTTAGCCCGGGGTCCAGTCATTGGCCACGACTTATATTTCGACGATTTTCGGTACGCGGCGATTGGCCCCAGATTTTCAAACCGACATAAATAACGTCCAATAATCGGCTGCTTATCGACACTAATTGGCGCAAACACTCTGAACCAATCCAACACTTCATAGGCCGTGAAGTCTATGTAAGACAATTGATCGCCAATCAGCCACTCGTTGTCCCCTAAAAACTCGGCCAATAGGTTGAGCTGATTGTCGAGTATACCTGTGCAGTAGGCATCCCTCCGACGCTCCCAGTCCTCGCGCATAAGTATCTCATAATGAAAATGGGATTTCATATCATAAATATGCTATTCAGCCATATCTTGTCGCCGGTGAGCCGGTTCATCGCTATCAATCGCATAGAGTCCGTACTTTCTGCCTAAATATCTCATTATTGCCGTACTTTGTGTCAGCTTTATATCGGAGTCTATATAGTAGGGAAGGTTCGGGAACTGGAGTCCGAGCGCGTGCTTATCCAACAGCCAGTCCTCAGTCGACCCGTAACGGCGATCGACGAACTCGACGCCCGCGTACGTCAATAAGTAGCGTATGGGTTGACCCAAACCTCGTACATCCCTATAGCCGAGTATCGGTAATACAGGTGCCGACATGGCATATGAGGGTTGTGTAATTATTTTAATTACAACATTTAATTTAAATATGAAATTAAAATACCATTTGCCTTGAACAAAAATATATAAAGGGATTTACAAATCAAAAGTAAAATAATGAGCTGGCAAAATAACAGTGACACTATTAATATTGTTTTTAAAATAATGACATTGAAATTTTTACTAATTATAAATACAGTATATGGTTAAATCAATGTTCAAATAATTTTAAAAAGAAATGCTAACTGTTCAAATTATAAAACAAACTATTAATGTTTAACATACACAATCAAGAATCTCAAAATAAATTAATCTAATAGCTAAAAATTTATCCAGGACTTTTTCTATATCTTATTAGAACTTCACAGATAGCACATTTTAATTTTGTCGACCTATATCAGGATACAATGATACAGTAACGGTAGATATGAAATAATGCTGATCATTTTGAATGATAAATGAGTTTTTATATTTTCATAAACAGATTTAATTTAAAAATATTAGTCAATTTTGTCTATTGATGGCTATAATGGCTATAATGAACACATTTATATGGCTTAAAATGTTTTACAAATTAATTATTATATTATATTTGTCTCTCATTTCTATAACACATTGCAATACAAAACAATTGCCAAATGTTATCATATTTATTGCGGACGACATGGGATGGGCTGACGTGGGCTACCACTCGGACCACGTGCTCACCCCTAACATCGACACACTGGCGGCCGATGGCATAGTGTTGAACCACTATTACACGCATCCGGTGTCGTGTCCGAGTCGGGCGGCCCTACTGACGGGCGTACACCCCATACATACGGGGCTACAAAACTTTGTAATCATCAACCAGTCGCCCACTGGTCTGCCCCTACACTACAAACTATTGCCACAGTATCTCAAACAACACAATTACGCCACACATATAGTCGGTAANATGGAGGCTCTAATTGGCCGTTCAGAGGCAATAAAACGGAATTATTTGAGGGAGGTCAATTAGCAACTTTTTTTATCTTTTAGTTTTTACTTTTAATGAATAAATAATAAAATCATATAAATTGATATTAGCCCTAAGAGTGCCGGCATTCATATGGAGTCCATTACTTCGCAAAAGTGGTTACGTCTCGGAGGCCCTCATCGATGTGTCGGACATAATGCCAACCATTTTAGACGCAATCGGCGACAGACACGTGCTTTCAGACGAAACTCATATTTACGGTAAGGATTTGATAAATGAATATTAAATTCATGTTTTTTCTGTATTTATAATTCGTGTTAATTGAAGGCGTGTCACAATGGGATACGATGTCTCATAATGGACTACCGGTGCGATCTGAGATCATCCATAACATCGATCCGGTAGATAATATGTCTGCCATTCGATGGCACGACTGGAAACTCGTCCAGAGCTCCAGTTATAAGGGATATGATCTGTGGACTCAGACAATACAGTTTGGCGGTTGGAAGCCACCCATGTATAGCAAATGCACGCTTTCACCCGAACAGTTTGAAACAATGCGAAACTTGCAAAGACATAGTTGCAAAATGTACAAGGTAATGCTTTTGAAAATGGTTTAAATATTCATATCATTTCTACTTATAACGTTTATTAAACCAAACTATATTAATTATGTTTTCATCAAGGTATTGTCTCAAATGAATAGACATCCAAATTATGATGTATTGGACGAGTCGACAGTGCTGTGCTCTGAACCTCCCGTTCCTAATGGTAAACACTCGTGTTTGACGGGTGAGTTGTGTTTATTTAACCTAAGGGTCGATCCGTGCGAATACAAAAACGTAATCAATGAAACCGATCCCTCATTCGTGCGATACGTTTGGCACAAATTGGTTGAGTTTAACGAGACGTCAGTTCCCGCCCTATCACTCGTGCCATTGGATAAGCGAGCACATCCTCGGTTTCATAATAACACCTGGACCAATTGGTTGGACCATGACTTGGACTATGAATTATATAGGGATTACAAACACGACAAAGATGAATTTTAATTGTTTTAATTTTATTAATAATAAGATGCTTATTGTAGAAATACTTAGCAGTATGATCCAGGTCATAGGTGCACATATTTTAATTAAACTACTCATTTGTTTATAAATGTATCATGGTCATATATGGACATAGCCCCCATCGCATACAAAACAACTTCCGGTTATCAACTGGGCGTCCGGTGACGACAGGTATAGCACGGCGTTAGCGATGTCTATGGGCTCACCCACCCGTCCCACCGGTGTTTTCATAGCGATTACATTATACTTGACATCGGACTCCTGTTTTGTAGACCCATAGTCACAAAAACGTTAGTCCTCAAAGCACCGGGACTATATTTATTTTAAAACAGAAATAGACAACTTAAATGAGCCAGGTTTATTTGACACGATTATGATATACCAAATCGAGTTGACTCGTACGCCATTGAGGGCTAACACAAGTGTCGCACATTTGGTGAACATATTTAACGCACACTTTGCAGTACAATATAAGGAAAGTCTAGGTGTCTGTAAAAGTTTATTTAAAAAATTATAAAAATTAACTCGCTTAAAAATACTGCTTATTTTAAAAACCGGTTTAATGGCCGCATTGCTCGATATGTTAACGATATTACCGCCAGTTTTAACCAAATGTGGGGCACATAAGTGGGTTAACAGTACGACTGAACGCAGGTTTGTGTCCATACAGTCACCGTATGTGTGCGTAATATCCGGGTCAGTGACGGTAGTTAACACCCCTTTGCCGGCGCTATTGACCAATACGTCGATTCGCGTGAATGTGTCGATTGTGGTGGCAATGAGTCGCCGACAGTCCTCTGAGACATTCATTAGATTAAATTTATTTTTAAAAAATTTTAAATTAAACCAATTTTATATATTATATTAACTTTTTCAATTATGAGCTTTGAAAATGCAGCGACCATTAGTTGCCATAAGTTTAACGGCATCGGCGCTATCGTAACACATGTTTAGTCCCATTGCTCGCAGTTTCTCGTTGTAGGCCTCATCAAAATCAGCACTTTGTTGATCGGTAAACACCGGATGCCAGTCCCCTATAACCCCTTTTCGCATAAATCTGTACTGGCTAGTGTCGAACGCCCCTGTAGTCACCACCGATTCCGGATTAACCATTTTATTATCGGTTAACGCCTCAAAAGAACACAAACCGGTAATTGTAGCAATAATGTCCTTGGTCAGATACTTGCCCATAAACTTTGCAATTATCATGATCATTTTTGGTAGATCAGCCTTTAGTTCTTCGTACGATACAAAGAGCACGTTATCAGGATTAATTGATGTAGTTTCCAATAGTCATACACGTGCTCGAGCTAATCGCCATAGAATAGGTGACCATGCACAAATAACTCGCAAAATGTGTGCCACGACCCGTTATAATTGCCCAGAAATTTGCTAATTCGGTGATAATAATAATATGACACAGCAGTGTCTTTCGGGTTACGCACTACGTATATGATCTAGATCATAGTAATAGATATTAAGCATACTAACTGAACATGGTAAACTTACTTTGCATTTCAATTGCTTCAATTGGGTCGGTATATGAGTGGCCGGCAAATGCGTGCCAATCATACGGTCACTCGATTGTGACGCTAACCGCTCGATATTGTCGTAAACCTCGATGTGTTTGATGCGCTCTATTACGGGTACATCGCTTACGGACTCCACGTTTCCATTACCGTCGATTAGCGACAGTATCTGTTTAGTCCATGTGGTGCCTGACTTGGGGTAAGACACCAGCCATATATCGTTGGCCCGGATTTCAAAAGTGGACATTTTTGACAAATATCGCGATGGGTTGACCCGACCCTGGAGTAGTAGGCCGTCCGCTAATACTGCGTCCGGAATAGAGCGCACATATTGAGAGCGAAGTTGGTCCTCGTCACGCATATTAACCGCCATTACAATGTTAATTGACCTGGATAATGTTAATGGATATTCATATTATTATAAGTAAGAAAGATTTATGATGGATAAAACACAATAAGATTTACATTATTGGGTGTATTATATGAAAATTGTTACAAAAGCGAAAAATTGTTTTTGTAAACTTTAAATAAATAAAATAATGTAAAATAAATATGAAAACCCGTTAGCAACAGTAGGTGACATGCACATTTTGCTCATAGCATAGGTTTTTCGTTTTCTACCTATAACTATAATCCTGATTTGATGCAAAACCTTTTTATTATATTTGAAAAAGTAGTACAGGTTGTAAACTCCATACAAATTTTATAAAATTTCATACTTAAAATTGACAACAAAATTGATTACATTTTACAAATAAATGTCAAACAGTTTAAATCGAAATACAATCAAATCGACACAAAAATAGTGTTCATTTAAATATGAGATATGTATGCGATTGGAGTTAATGTCAAACAGTTTACACAAAAATCACATTTAAAACACGTGTTTTACTTTCAAATAAATGCACAATAAATAAAATATTTTTCAAATAATTTAGAAATCAAATCACACGTGTTTCATATCTCATGTAAACATCACATGTTTTGCATTTACACAGAGTATAGAGTATAGAGCATAGACGTCCAAAATTTTAAAAATCCCCAAAATAGTGTTTTATAATAATATGAAAATTTTAAACTATTCAAAACACTAGTATTTTCTGATTTAAATGTGACTAAGATTTGTATTGAAAACATTTTTATTTATTAAACAACAAAATAATATTTAAATGATTAAAATACTAACTCGTAAGAGATTTCTAAACATACAATAAAAATATTTGAGAAAGTAATAATCATATATAAAAAACTAATTAATATTCATTTTCATGTACTTAAATGCTACTTTAATGTTTAATGTATACTATAAACTTTAAAATACTAGTGTTTTGTAGTGTTGGTTAGTTATTTAAAAGTGCGTTTAATTATCAGGCTATGTTATTATATGTTATTATATAATATTATGTATTAAGATGCATTCATTATATATATACCGTAATATTCCACATTGTATTACATGTAATACTGGGTCATATCCACATGCTAGATTATATAAATTATTTGAGTGATTATATAAAATGTAAGTTTTTTCAATTTGACTGGATTTAGAAGTTTAATTGTACATTCTATGATACATTGTATTACATGTAATACTGGGTCATATCCACATGCTAGATTATATAAATTATTTGAGTGATTATATAAAATGTAAGTTTTTTCAATTTGACTGGATTTAGAAGTTTAATTGTACATTCTATGATATGTAGATTTCTGAGAAGGGGTGTAATACTATCTAGGTAACGTTACATGCGATTTCAGAAACGCAAAAATCACTGGATATGACCCAGTATTACATGTAATACAATGTGGAATATTACGGTAATTATATTGATTACAGTGAATTCCACTTATTACAAATTATTACAAAATATAAATGGTCTGCAATTTTATATAAAAATATTAATTAGCCCTGACGCCCCCTAGTTTCACATAGTGAGCAAATTATTAGCCCCTCCATTAAAGTGTACACACACTTTAATAAATTGCAATAAAATATTTGTCCAGTATGTTTTACAAAAGTTTTGAATGTAAACTTGTTTGATTCTCAATGTGGCCAAAACTAGCCTATATCCATTATAACATATAGAGTCTATATCTATTTAGTAATATTTAATTTGTAGTCAAGCACATTTATAGAAAGTCATTAAGTTTTAAAATTAAAATATAAATCAAGTTTCTAAATGCAATGTTTTTATAAATATAATTTTCAAGATTTTGTTTTTCGGGATTTTGATGTGCTTTCATTGCCAAGAGATGTATCAAATGCTGAATAATTTTGTGAATGTCCCCCCATTTTACGTCTGGTTAAAATGTTCCTGATTATATAAATTTTATATTATAAAGCATAGACGTCCAAAATATGAGTAGCATGTTAAATTACTAATGCTATTCATATAGCAATGTGACCGCTGTGGTACATATATGTATATCTATGTTATAAAGCATTATGATTATATTCATTTGTAAATCTATTATAATTTGACAATTTATTTTAAAAGAAACACATAAAACTATACTATTAGAAATAACCTACGATGCACATTCATATTAATCCGAGCCACACTAACAGTTACAATTCAGTTAAAATATTGTACATATTACTAAATTTGTTACAACGCTAGTTTTTTGTGTCTCATTATAAACTTAAGTGATTT